TTACTGACAACCATAAAGTGACAGTATGAGTGATTGGGATAAAAAGCAACTGAAATTAAGAATGAAAAAAATGTTAGTTAAAAACTGATAGTGGTTTACAATACTCAGGCAAATATTAATAAAATTCATATAGTATTAATGATATAATTTCAGTTGGGACATTTACTCTTAATTAAGTGAATTGGAAAAAATAAAGAAATATTTGGACACATATTTACTCAACCACATATGAACAATTTTATTTCACTATCCTTGATACAGCTTCATGATTCCATCCTCTCAGAACTTGGCATCTTTCTGGGTGATGAACTGGTCTAAGTGATTTTTACATGATTCCAGAAAATTATGAGAATTTTGTAGGTATCAAAATAACTGGTCATCCAAAGGTGCAAGATCAGGTGAGTGCAGTGGAAATAAGACATTCCAACCATTCACTATCAATTTCTGCTGGGTTTGCAAAGAAACATTAGATCTATATAGTATTGTTCTAATTGAAGACAACACCTTTCTGATTGGCCAATTCCAGATGTTTTTCATTGATTGTTGCCTTTAATTAGTCCAACTGGGAACAATACTCATCTGAATTCAATGGTTATTTTTGTTAAAGGAATGTGTAATACACAATAGCCTTCCAATCCTGTCAGATACAGAGCATCACCTACTTTGGATGTAAACCAGCTTCTTAGTGGTTAATAATGACTCATTTACTTATTCCCTAGGACCTTTTTCACTCTACATTTTTGTAAACAATCCATTTTTCATCACCTGTGATTGTTCTTTTCAAAAATTGGTTGTTTTTGTTACGCTTGGGCAGAGAATTGCAGATAGAAATGCAGTCCATTAAATGTTTTCTGTTAAATGGTTATGCATCCCAGTGTTTTCACATGTTTTACGATGCTCACATAAGTATCTGTGATGTCCTGTGTTGTGTAACATGGAGTTTTTTAACCAGCATATCAATTAAGTCATCATCAGTGACTTGCAAACCTGTCAGAATGTTCTTAACAAGCTTGTGTCAGTGGATGGCAGAAGATAGACTAGGAGAGATAGCAAGGAGACAAACATTAATCAGAGCCACAAAGGTCAGGAAGTTGTGGAGAACCATGATTTTCGATGTCATAGAAGAAGTTTCCATGCAATTCTTTCTCATGTTTTTCTACTGCTAATTTCTGTTAAACTATGAGGCATGCAAACACAGTAGCAGTTCATGTATCTATATGTGACATGGATTTTTTTCAATCAGCATTTCAATTAGTTCATCATCAGTGACTGCAACCCTGTCAGAAGGTTCTCATCTCTCTTGTATATGCCATATCCTTTCACGGCAAAAACAATCATGGTCTTCTCTAACTTCTTGTTTTTTGTGCTTTAAATAACTTTTCCTCTTTACCATTCTTCTTTGTTCCTTTTCCATCATATATTCATTTAAACTCATTAAGTATTTTGCTTGTTGCTTCCTTGATTATTTGGCCTTCAGTATGTCCTTTGGTTGCTAAATTCTCAAGGCTTTCTTTCCTCATTACCTGTCCCAGAAATTCAACTATTTCTTATTGTTGATTAATATAAGTCCTTATCATTCCTATTTTCTTTAAAACTTACTTGTTATTCACATGTTCTGTCCATATAATCTGCAAGGAAATTGTCCAGCATTCAGTGACTTTCAGTAAAGTAGTGATTCATCTCTTTTTTCACTGTTTTTAACTTTATTTTCCTGTTTTAATACTTTGCTTAGTTTTTTGAAGCCTTCTTTCTCTATTATTTGTGGTTTCTATGTCACATTTTGAATTGTTAAATTTTAACAGTTAAATTTCTGTAGCTGCTTGGTTTTAAGCTTCCAACACCCACATAGTTCATACCTTGGGTTGCTTCTTTTTTTTTAAAGTCTCTTCATCTGTAAGGAGATTGCTGAGAATACACTGCCATAAAGGAGATTAAATATTACACAGCAGTTCGACACTCTTTTCTTTGTTTCTAAGAATATTTTGTGCCTCTTAATATATTGCTACATATTCAGTCATCGTAGTTAAATTGGTATTCCAGTCCTCAATATGTAGCCTGCAACTTGAGCTGTTTCATTTCCTTTTATTATTAGTGATGCAAAGAGGAAAAAAGATTGCAAGAAACTACAACTCATGATAAATTCATGTCCTAGCTTAATCTTTGTTTTAATGAGGTATCAGTTATTTTTATGCAGAGCCAGTATAGGTGAGACTGTTAGATAAAGGGGGTAAATTTACATGGCAAAACACAGGTAGCAAAGAGAGAGAGAGCAAAAAAAAAAGTGAAACAAAAAATACCAAGCAACAACAAGTGATATCACTGTCAGAGATTGACTGAGCCAATATCATGCACATAGTCTTCTGAAAACAATATATCAACTATTGATACTGCTGGCAAAATTAATTGAGCATCTCTGCATATTACAAAACATATGCAGATGTAACTCAATTGCAAAATACACAACTGGCATCTAAGAAAAGACAGAAAACATTATCCATAATATCAAATTGATAAGTTATATTTCCGACATAATTGCAATAAGCAATTACTCAGGATAGGCAGATTACAGCCACATCACATCAAAACACCGGTTCCCATACAATCACCAAAGTTAAGCAATATCGAGTCTAGTCAGTACATAGATGGGTGACTGCTTGGGAATACCAAGTGTTGTAAACTTGGATGTACAAGTGGTGTAATGGACAATGCCTCAGAATTGTTAATCAGAGAGCCAAGTTCCAATTCCCGTAGGGTTCATTATATTCATTTACACGCAAATACCCTTGGGAAAGGTATGAATCCACCTGTTTTCTCTCCAGCTCTGGGTTAATTAGTAAGACTTATATCACTAAAAAAACATTATTATAATCTAAAAATATTTTCTGGCTTTAAATAACCTGCAAAGGGTTTGATAACCCGTAGAAAAGGAATCAATCAATCAGGGTAGGCAGTCAGTCAACATTTATAAAAATGAATTGTCAACAAAAGCTTTATCATTATTCTTTTTTTTTATTACTAATATTCACTTTATACCTAGACTCAAGAGCCACTCAATGTAGAGGGTTAGTGAAGGAGGTTGATGTGTGAGTAGTAAGAGTTAGAGGTAAGCAGGACAGTTTATGATATGTGGCAAAGGTAACAGTTAACCCTAGACTGGAACAAGTTACAATTGTAGTGGTCATGAAAACATCCTCTTGTGAGTCAGTTCCACAAAGTAGCAGTTTATTGGGAGCTGTTTGAATGAAATTTACTTCTCACTAATGTAATACAAAGGGAATTACAGTTGTTCCCTGTAATGTATGTGGTGTGGCACGTCATAGCTGTTTGGATTAGAGTTTGGGGAACTAAGGAATACAGCACATCTTGACATTTTGATAGAGTAGCAACAGACATGAAATGTTTTACCTGTTGGAAAGGAGTTGCAGAGTGGAAAATAACTTACCACACACAAGATGCTTTTGAACTCTATCAAGGCTGGTGAATGATAACTGGGCAGCTTCAGCCCAGGTATGGCAGCAGCAGAGTCCATTTTTGGCCTGCTCTGGCTCTGATAAAGTTACAGCATAGCAGAAGGAGTCAAGTACTTACTGAAGTGGTACACAGAACTAACCATTTTCCCAGCATCTTTGGTGATGGATCATATATACGAGTTCCACTTGAGGCCTGGGGTGTGCTTAGGTCTCAATAGTCATTCCAAGGGCACCTTAAGAGAACACACGTTCATTGCAATAGATAGAAAATTCAGAGTCTGCTCAGTGATGATAGAATGTTACCAGTTTGGTTTTTGAGGTACTGAATGTGACCAGCCAGTTTTCACCACCATTGAGTTTTTAGAGCTAAGTCAGAGAGGAGATCAGCTGCCAGGTTCTGATCAGTTAGAATTTTGGTGACTTGAGTATGCTATTAGGTTGATCATCAATATAAAGCAGAAAGAGGCAAATCTTAGGGGACATCTGCATTGATCTTATGGCCCCTGGGGGACTGGCTATTAACATCTACCTTCATGGAACTATCTGTTAGGAAGGACTTGATAATTTACAAAATTCTTTGAGTGATTTCATGGATGGAGACTATATATAGCAACCCACAATGCCACAGCTTGATAAAGTGTAGAATAACAATAATAAACAGCACTTACCAGTGTAAAGGTCCCAGCTAGTGTCCAGCTGGCAGACAAAAATAAAGCAGGTTGTAACTTAATACAAACCCTGCAAACTAACTGATGAATCAAGCTGGTATTTATATAGAAATACCTCCACTCAGGTACCAGCAGCCAATCACAGCCCAAGCAATGGACTATCCCACTTTAGCACAATGAGATGCTCCATGGCAACATAAATAGCTCTCTTTCTAAAGATTGGATTATTATTCACTTAGCTTGCTCCACAACTGAGTGTTTATCTCTACCACGTGATTTTTCTACATGGCGCTGCGAATGGGATAACCGCAGCCCAAAATCGCGAGATAAGTCTGTCCCGGCGGAATGCTCGTCTCATAGAGCGATACAACAGAACAGCACACACCTTAAACCCCCTTCAAAAAGGACAAATAGTGGCACTACAATGACCAACAACCCGCCGATGGGACACAACAGGTCAGGTCATTGAAACCCTCCCCAATCACCAATACTGTATCAGAGTTGATGGATCAGGTAGAATTACCTTACGAAATCGCCAATTCCTCAGGAAACTGGATACACCTACAATTCCAGTTCCCAGACCTAGTGCCTTACCCGAGACCCCTACACCAGTGCCACAAACATTCGACACTGGAATAACATCGAACACTGCTCAGTTGTCTACAATAACACGGACAAAAAACCCTCGAGCATTGTCCAGACTACTTCTGCACAACCAGCCAGGTTTAAAGGAACTCATCCCTCCTCAAAGGCCACTACCCACACGCGATGGTGGGGAAGGAGATGTAGAATAACAATAATAAACAGCACTTACCGGTGTAAAGGTCCCAGCTAGCATCCAGCTGGCAGACAAAAATAAAGCAGGTTGTAACTTAATACAAACCCTGCAAGCTAACAGATGAATCAAGCTGGTATTTATATAGAAATACCTCCACTCAGGTACCAGCAGCCAATCACAGCCCAAGCAATGGACTATCCCACTTTAGCACAATGAGATGCTCCATGGCAACATAAATAGCTCTCTTTCTAAAGGTTGGATTATTATTCACTTAGCTTGCTCCACAACTGAGTGTTTATCTCTACCACGTGATTTTTCTACAAAAGTAATGTTGAATCTAGGTACGATATCATGAACTGAATCACTTCTTTTTCCTTTAGGAAACAGGAAATTTCTAGGACACTGTTGTAATGTAGAAAAGATTACTGAATGAGGAATAACCAAAACAAAGGTTGGAAATGAAATGGTAATCTTTATAACATCAACAAAATACAATACTCACCAGCAGCATGAAGTAGGTAAACCACTGCTAGTGATTGACTAATTAGACAGCATATTACCCCCACTTACAATAGTGTCCAACATATTTATGAGGATTGGGACATACACATTAGTGTTCATAGATACAGTATATAACAGACATATAATGAGGAAAGAAGCATTGGAGAATTTGATATTCACAGGGCATAATGAATGTAGAAGGAGACAGTGAGTAACCTTCCTAACCAGCTTCTGTCAATGAATGGCAGAGCAGGGACTGGGATGGATAGTAAATAGACAAGCATTGCTAAGAGCCACAAAGGGCAGGGAGTTGTAGGAAACTATGAAAAGCACATCATAGAAGAAGGAGAAAAAGAAGACAAAATTTTCATGCAATTTTTGCTGATGTTTTCTTATTGCTGATTGAGAAAGACCCAAGGAATAGTGTGCTTATTGTTTCTAAATACATTATTATTGTTACGCAACTAAGGGAGACCTATTGACTGAATTATTAGTACAAATTGTATGTCTTTATTGTATTATATTTCATTAAGAAATAAGGGATAATTAAATTCCCTTCACATAATTTTTCATATCAAAATGAAAAAAATAAAATGTGTAACTAACAAACACTTGTTTTTTCATTTTGTTGCCAATTAAAAAAAATGTTATTGTCATTATTCACATTTATTTACAGTGACACAAGTCATAGTATTTATGATTATAGTAATTTTATCATACCAAATTCTGACTTAAAATATATTCTTAAAATAGATTCACACATTCTAGAATTAAACAGAAATTTAGGTATACTCAATGAATACATTTTCCACAGAAAGCCACCTACAAACTTTCTATAACCCTAATCATATCAAACAACTCGTACAAAACTATCATATCTCTTTGGTAATATAAGACATAAAACAGATAAACAAAACAAATTCCCTGGAAAGTAAAGTCCCTCTTCATTTTGTATTTTTTATTTCTCATCCTGTTAAGAAAGAACATAGACATATCAAAAAATTCTGATTTTTAAAATCTTTCTCATCATCCTTCCATTTGGTTTAAAAGTTACTACAGCATTATTAGTTTTATTATCAATATTATTATTTTTGATGTTTTTTTTATCTCTCAAATTTCTTTCATCAGCCTATTATATCTACATATAGCTTAAAAACCTATTATATCAACATATAGCTTAAAAGCTTATTATATCAACATATAGCTTAAAAACCTATTATATCAACATATAGCTTATATCTATATATAGCTTAAAAGACACCCTATTGGGCAGCATTTAAGCTAGCTCCTGCAGAGGGCACTCGGTTAGGCCTTCATCATAATAGGGAGGAGTAGATGCAATAGACAACAATAAACTACAGAAGGACTTAAAATTGATTGCTACATTTTAGTATTGCATTAATATTTAAGCTTACTTTTTAAAATTTCATCAATAATTCTTCTGCTGCCACTTAATTTAAAGACAATTTGATGAACATAGGCCCTTACTTTCTGTACAAACAATTATTTTTTATTTTATGGATGACTTTTGCTAGATTTTGCAATTAATTTCAATTATTCCCAAAGTTATAAAAAATGTTATCTCACAAAAAAATTTGTTGCAGAAAATCATATAAAATATCGCCAAAAACATTCACACTAATGAAAACTTAGGAATTCAAAATTTTAGGATTGAAGTTCCAGATCCAGCACAGAGTCAGCCTGATTCTAAAATGGGATGATATGTTGGGCTATGACCTTCAGGAGCAAAGTTGAAAACACAATTTTATTTTGAAATACTATAATTTGAAAACATTAATTTTTTTTATTTGAACATGAGCTACTGAAAGTTAGAGAGTTATGTCTCTTTAGTTGTTTTTATCAGTAGAAGCTAAGAAAGAATCTGAAAAACATTCATGTTAATGAAAACTTGTGAATCCAAAATTTCAGGATTGCAGGTCCGGATCCAGCCAGATATGTTTTTAATTTGCTCATGGAGTTGGCCTGATCCCAAAATGGTACATGTTGGGCTATGGCCTCTAGGACAGTGACACACTGACATTTGTATTCTCAATGTCAAGGAGAGAGCTTATGTAAATATAAAACATAAAAACCAGAAAAAAGTTATAAATATTTTAAAAAATATGGGATTTGATATAGATATAAAAATTGATTTAATGGAATAACCTGTCACCCCCATGAGTGAATACACTATAGGTAGTAACTACCTATAAGAATCTGTAAGTCAACAGACTACAGAGACTAGCCAAAATCTTTTCA